TATTTTTACTTACTTTTAATTCCTGTAATTTTGCAAAGTTGCTATTAAGATGTAGAAGAATTGCTTTATCAATCTCATTAGATTACTTTCTATACTTAATTTTTGCGCAATTTACCGGGGGCCACTTTTTGTACACTAAGTGCAATCATTCTTTGGACAAATTGTATAATCTTGAGAGTTGGAAACCTGTGGATTTAGGAAGACTTAGTGTAATCCCCTATTGCAAGATCATTAATATATATTACAGAGATGGTTAAATATTTCTAAACTAAAAAATGTAGCATATAATGTGGCTGTTTGAACCAATAGCATGCACACATTGGAAAAATACATGTGATATTTTAGCCAGATAATTTAATTGCCATTAATTATAAATTCTGCTCCAGATGGTCCGCTACTCCAAGAACCGTATATGGATATACGAATGTCATTTAATGATCTTACTAATTAAACAAGTAATTACAAAAAGTACATGTGTTTCTCTACATCTATGAGAAAAGGGAACTACCAAACTACCACACCAGATACACGCAAACCATTTGTCATGAATTGATATTAGCTTCTAAACGGACATCGCTGGAGTATGGTACTGAAATTTCCAAGGTGGCTTACTAGTGGTTAGTTACAACTTCTGGAAAAAATACAAGATTCGCCCCTCAAGATTTTATGCCTTTTGTATCAAGATAAATGAATAAACATCGGGCTTGGAACTATGGACGTCCCCTGCCCCTGGAACTAAAACTTTCAATTTTACAAACATTGAATTTGAAGTCTTGTTTCCACACATTAGTATGCTGTGATGAAGGGATTCATGTGCGTATATATGTAACTAAAAGACCTAATGCAACAATAAACCGAAAAGACATGTAAATAATGACAAATCCAAACACCCCACTCCCCTAACGAACAATATAAAATACGTTTTTTTTAAGTATAAGGGCAATAATACTTGTAATAATCATAAAACATAAATTTACGGATGTGCCACTATAGTTCAATCCACCACTGTTCATTGTTGTTTCGTTCCTCAGTTCCATAATTTTTTTTTAGAAAGTTTAACATAACATTAATTTTATTCTTGAAAAGTTGCTTAAATAAAAAAGCATATATAGATTTTAAAATTTAACTAAAGATAATTTCCTTTTGTCACTTTCATCGCACAAGTACCAGAAATATATGTATCATTGACACGCTCAGAACAATGCACGTGTCCTGCAAGCAGCGCAGTGAATGTTGTATTGAGAAAGAAATTGAAGGATTAAGAAGGAAAAAAAAACAGTTGGAAAGAATGGAGACGATATGAAAACGAATTAATTGTCAAGAGTCATAGCCACATCCCCTGTCTGACCTGATACGTAGAACATATGGAGATAACGAACAGTATTTAGTACCAAAAGTTCAAACGACAATAATAAAAAAACAGGAGCAGAGCAAACACGGAGCTCCAAAACAGCAGAAGTGAGAGTGGTGCCATGGAGGAATGAGCATCCCTGTATAACTTGTGTATTTGAACGAATATTTAAATTGTCAGAACAAATATTATTTGTTGTAACAAATATCTTATTTGTTGTACATATGTAACAAATATCTTATTTGTCCGAAGAAATTTGTATCATTTTTCTGAACAAATATTTAATTTTTCCGAACAGTTGAGTAATTCGTCTTAACGAATTTCTGATCTGTCAGAACAAATAATTCTATCGAACAAATTTTCTAATCCGTCCAAACAAATAAGTAATATTTCCAAAACTAATTTCTAATTCGTCCGAACAAATTTCGAATTTTTCCGAACAAAATGAAAAGGGTTATTTTATTTGGCCAACCAGTGGTGCCTCAAAAGTAAATAAATATTCCTTCAAACAAAGGATGTTCTTTTTTCTACCAAAGAAATTATTTCTTTATATGTGTCAAGTAAATCAGCTCCTCTAGGCCAAAGTATGCATACAATAACTCTGGATTTTTCTTTCACTTCATATCTTGCTTTTTCTTAATATTTCCAGTGGAAACCAGCTAGGTTCTGTTAATTCTGCTAGTTATTTTTGATTGCAACTTTATGGGATTACCAAGGCTGTAAGGATTTATGGGTTTAGAATCCGAGAGTCTCGACCAACTTCTGAAGGTAAACATATCTGAAATTATTCCTTCCGGTTAATTGAAATTTAAAATTGGTAGAGTTTGTAATCTTAATAAAAAGGTTTTAAAAAAGATATCAAGGAAATGAAATGACATTGTTTATTTCATATTATCAAAGAAAACATTTTTTTTTTTTATTTTACATGCCCCCCAAAAAATTAACAATTAAAAATTTTGTTTGAAACTATGTATTAGAAAAGAGAAAGTTTTTCTAATTCCATTAAGGCTTATCGAAGTAAACTGTATTTTCGGACCCTTTTCTATTAACGTATTAAAATTTAAACGTTTTATCAGAGTAATTAATATATGAAAAACTGTTCAACATTGCTAGCATTACAACTGAAAGAATGACTTTGAGAATATTTACATACATAAAGTCATTATTATCATTCCAACAATTCTTGGGAATATCTACATGTACATACATCATAATAATTCTAAATAGGAAAATAGTTTTATATTACAATATTGAAAAAAGATCAAATCCTGAAGAAAATTTAGTGTTCAGGTCTCTCCATACATATTTCAATTCAAAGATAAACAAGTTAAGATTGCTTAAAATATAATAAGAACTGGTTAAATACAAGTAAATTTATTTTCGCTGCTTAACAGTGTTAAACTTTCATTGCAAACAAGATACATGTTAAATTCAGTTCAGTTTATTCACTCAAATCAAAACATGGAGTGCATTAAAAGTTATACACATTTAAAAAAAAAAACTTGTCAGAAATGCAAACTATGGTACATACATGTATGAACACTATACATTATTAGGCGACTTCATGCATACTGCATATTAATTTATTCCTTTTTTGGCTAAAATACAACAAAGAATAAAACCTCCTACACAGTATCGACGGAAAAGATAATGAAATTCTTTAACAAATCATAAGGCCTATATTATCTTTTCGAAAGCCCACGCTTTTGAAAATAGTTTGCGAAGATATGCATTATGTAGCCTACATGTATATACATAATTTACTCTCGCGATTATACCTTATTAAGATATATATCTTATTCGTCTTTCAATTTAAATCTAAAAACATCTTACTCTTTACAATTTATTGATTTGTATGCAACATACATTCAATATCACGTCATATAGAAATACGACGTTACACTTTCCCCGCAATCACTTTATAGACTGGTACAGGTTTCTCTAAAGTTTAGCGTAAATAATGTTATGAAGTAATATTTAAATAAGACAATAACTTTTCTTCCTTTAATAGATTCTCTAGCATGCATAAAAAGAAGGAATTTGGCAATAAATTAAAGATTGAGTGAATCTTTTAAAGTGCGTGAAAATGCGAGATTGTGGGAAAACGGCATATGCGTGATTTGCATTAAAATAGAAAATGGCATATGCATGACTGAGATGTTAAAAACATTGTGGAGCTAATTATAATAAGAAAGGCGATCATGACGACTACAGCCAGGATTTTGCTAAGCCGGCTAAAATGCAAAATCCTATGTCTGTCATACTAATTTATTTTTATGATACATTATTGCTTCATTGAGACTTTAGAATCTCTTTTTCTTTTCAGTTGTTCGAATACTTGGAGTAAAGTACGAAAGCTGTTCAATAAATAATGTCCTCGGTGCTCAGAAAGAAGCAAAAGACTCTTTACTAATTGATCTCTTTCAAGTAAAATACATGTCCGTAACATTTTTTATCCAATTTCTGATTGTTTTTAGAACTCATTTTTTAGTATGACCCTTAGTATACTGGAAGATGGCAGATCCAATTATTTTTCGGATTGTTTCTTCCCTCTGAAAGGTGTTTTTTTTTCAAATTTGGAAAAAGAATTAAGTCAAAAGGTCAAAGATCTGCCGAATATTGCTGATGTGAAAGAACATTAACTTTCTGTTTATCCCGAAAACCCCTTTACTCTTCAGGGCATGCGGGTTTGGACGCTTTCTTGAAGAAATTCAATGTAGTGGATTCCTGATTCTGGGTCCTTCCTCTAATAAACCTTTTGCTTTTTTTTAAATTGCTTTCTAGACTCCTCTAGAAATTAAACTGTCTCTGCGAATACGAATATGAACAAGAATACCACTAATTTATGAAGAAAATTACATATAAATCTGTCTTTGTGCTCTTGAGTACCTGTGCTCTTGTCAGACATTCGCCGTTTTTATTAAGTACATCTTATGGTAAATTTTGTTTTGAGGGTATTAATCAATAGATTCATGTTCCAATAATCTGTTTGAAAATAAAACACACGTGGATAACTAAAATTACTGATATTTTAAAATGATTGTTAAGAATTTCGTATACGCTGTCGTTTTCACTCATTTTTAAAAAGATAGGGTTACCTTTGAGTACCAAGCTTTTTTACCGTCAAACGTTTCTTAAAAACGGTATAAACTACTCTCGAAATGATGTCTATCAAATTTGCTCTGTGTCTTAAAGTCAATAATTCATCATCAAAATTTGGCAACCTGTACATAAGTTGTTATGTTTTGTTGGCAAGGAGGGTACCCATTTTTGATGCCCATTACATAATTTTTTTATCATTGAAATCCACCTGCTCTTTTGTCTATAAAACAGGCACTGGTTGCTGTAAATATCATATATTTCAGTGAATATTTCTTTGGGATTTTTAACAAGTTTTACAGCAGCTATAATGAAGCTTTTATTTTCACACTAGTTTACTGATTCTTTACCATTCATTTATAATGCAGTGTCTCGAAAACCCCTTATTTTCCAGCTTCTCACGATTAAACAATGTGATGAAATGTCAAATAATCTTTTATAAATTCATGAAAGATTCAATAAAGAGAGAAAGTCAACTTTAATGTCATATGATACCTGTAATGTATGTTATATAGTTCAGGACATTATTTATTGAACAGCCGTCGTAGACATTAGTAGCTTTATTTGGCAATACGGGAAGAAATGATGACAGGTTTGTGTCCAAACAGCACTGCTCCTTTGAGGACTGCAAGCTCTGGATCGGGGGGAATAATAACCCTCATATCTGGAAAAGATTGTTTGATCATGTCCTGTAGAATTGGTGACTCAGAAAATCCTCCGACCATTATAATGTTGTTGGTCCCTGAGATTTCATGTTTACTTAATAGGTATCTAACATGATCCACAATTTGATCCCCTGCCACTTCAAAAAAGCTTTTCATCACTTCGGCTGATACTCTGCATTTGTCCCCCACCCACGTAATTTTTCCTGAAAACTTTGTATTCTTTATTGTCTCTGTTAAATTCTCCCCTGTGTCGTCTTCGAAAGTATCCACCAGAGAAAATGGAATTTTTATGGTGATTTTGCCCTTTGGGTCACCAGTAATGGAACGTTTCTTGGTTTCGAATTCTCTATACATGTCCACATAATCAGCTGTATGTGAGCGGGCAAACTCAGAGATGACAGGGGCTCCTACTATTTTCTGCAGCATTTGTTTGAAGGCCTCGTCCACCTGAGTCCCTCCCCACGCTCCTCCACTAGCTTTGTACAGCTCCTTTAGGTTGAGGTCGGGTTGCACTTCATAAACGGTGATATCTACTGTTCCTCCTTTAAATACAACAATTGTTGTTGTAACAAATGTTTTAGAAGTCCAAAATATATTTCATTAACATTTGAATAAGAAGTTCGTTGAATGTAATTTTTTACTTTAAATTTTTTTACGAAGGTATTTAAAAATGAAAGGGGCATTTAAAATAATTCATAATTCATTGGAATTAACATGTTATAATGATATTGCTGAAATAATTTTATCCAATACTGATACACAAAATCAGTATAACAGTAACAATATTTTTTGCTTATGCATAGAAAAGGTGAATACTGTAGACCACCGAGGATCAATTTTTGCGACACTTTTTATTAACGAGGAAAACAGTAACAATTTATTAGAAAAATTCTATAAAAAAAATTATACGAGTTGCGGTTACTACCTTTTATAATCTTAAGGAAGCTCCAAACACTGCTCAGTAAAGCATTTTGTCTATTGGATAGTTTTATGGATTTAGAAGTATCTCCCCTTAGAAGTTAGATAGAAAAAATGGTTAATAACAGTCAATATCATAAAATGTAATGGATTAAAGTAATCTATTACGAGCTTTATAAAATTTTGGCTTGTTTACATGTATATAATGTACTCTAAGCTTTATTCGTGCCTATTTTTGATATTATGAAATTTGCTTTTATATACATTTATTTGTTTTTATTTATTTTGTCATATCGTTTTCAGAAATATATTCTGCAAATTTGATAAGCGGAAAGTTCATTTGCTCATTTGGTATAGATTGCCTGAATGAAGTTTTATTCTATAATTTCATTGGTACCTTAATTTGATAGGATATATATTATTTATTCAGTAAATAATGCATTTTCATTTTAATATTTGATAATGTGTTGCATTGACATTTAAAGATTTGATCTACGTAATTATTTTTTATGCAAACGAAATAATACATGTAATGATTCTGTATCGTTCACATTACTAGTACACAATTTTTTCATATAGTTCGTATTTTCCTAAAACGTTTACCGTTAGTAATTTTTTTTTTTCTTTTTACTCGTATATTTATATTTTTATATCAGTACTCTGTCATTTTGACTTATTATCGAGTCTGAGATATATATTGAGGTTGAACTCTACATGTTTGCTTTTCCTTAACAAATTATTGTTTGATGATGTAGTTAAACAGGAACATTTCTTTTTATTTTTAGCTCACCTGAGCCGAAGGCTCAAGTGTGCTTTTCTGATCAAACTTGTCTGTTACCTGTCGTTGTAAACTTTTCACATTTTCATCTTCTTCTCAAGAACCACTTATCCAATTTTAACCAAACTTTCCACAAAGTATCCTTGGGTGAAGGGATTTTCAAGTTTGTTCAAATAAAGGGCCATGCCCTGTTTAAAGGGGGAATGATAATAAATAAGTGAAAAATCTTCTTTTCAAGAGCCACTTGACTAGAAAAGATGACACTCATATGAAAGCATTCTCATGTAGGGTAGATTCAAGTATGTTCAAATCATGACCCCCGGCGGCAGGATTGTTCTACAAAGAGGTATTAAAGATTGACATAGGAATACACAGGAAAAATCTTTTAAAATCTTCTTCTCAAGAACCACTGGGCCAGGAAAGATGATCTTTATGTGGAAGCATCCTCATGTAGTTTAGATTCAAGTATGTTCAAATCATGACCCCCGAGGGTAGGGAGGCACAATGGGGTATCAATGTTTAACATAAGAAAACATAGAAAAATTTCTAAAAAATTTCCTCTCAAGAACCACTGGGCCAGGAAAAATGAAATTCATGTAGAAGCATCCTCATTTAGTGTAAATAAAGGTTGTTCAAATTCTACCCCCTGGGGTAGGGTTGGGCCACAATGGTGTATCAAAGTTTAGCATAGGAATAAATAGGAAAAATCAAATCTTTTTCTCACGAACAGCAAACCCCTGATTGGTCATAATTATATGGAAGCATGAAAAAGGTAGATAAGATTTAAGATTGTTCAAATTGTTATCCCTGGGGGGAAGAGTGGGACCACAATGGGTGACTAAAGCTTTACATAGAAATACATAGTAAAAATAGTTTAAATTCTTCACAAAAACAACAAAGCCATAATTGTTCAACAGCATAAAAACATCAAATTAGGTAATGCAAATTTAAACTTGTTCCCATCGTGAGAATATGGAGAATAGAGGAGCCATCAGAGGAATGTAAAGGATTCATCAATAATAATTTTCATCCAATAAACAACAAAGCCATTATGTTTAGAAGGATATGGAGATAACGAACAGTATTCAGTCTCAAAGTCCATAAAACAATGCAAAATAAGAGAAGCGCAAACACGGACCCCCGAAACATCAGAGGTTGGATCAGGTGCCATGGAGGAGTGAGCATTCCCTGCCGACCAGTCACACCCACCGTGTGTTCCTTGTCATGATCAGGAAATAACGGAAAAAATCCGTCGTCAATGTATTGTATGAATAATGGACTAACAATTGGTATGAAAAACGTCAGTCAGCATTTGACTTACTGATAATGGTATTTGTTGACAAGGTCATTGGATCGACCATAGAACTTACGAAATGATTACTTTAATCGGGACTGCTGATATTCTTGTTTCATCAACTTGCTTGTCAGAAATCTAACTCGTTTTAGAAATTGTTCATACATAGAGCATGCTCTTGCGTATCGAATCAACTGAGATATATATACTCGGTATGCAGATGATGAAGGTATTTTTGCTGCATAAGTATTGGAAGTTGACGATAAAAAAGTTAAAGTCATCACGTTTATCATATAGCTTGGTTGTTAGATTACAATTAGTGTCTTTTTCCAAGTAAAATATCTAAGTATGAAACAGAAGTGTCGGACTCTGTGGTAACTTTTATCTTAAGCTCAACAGGATATATCGTATCGACGTAAGAATGGAAATTACCATTATTAATTGACAATACGTCGTCGATATATTTAAATGTCGAGTTAAAGGCCACAGCAAGTGTTTTCTTCTTTTCACGCTTTTAAGATTTTGCATAAATTCTGCCTCATATCAATATAAAAATAAGTCTGCTAATAACGGAGCTCAATTTGTACCCAAGGGAATTCCAATACATTATTTAAATACCTGGTCTCAAAGAACCGCATAAATATTGTCAATCAGAAACTTGATGTCACCTTCAGAGTACTTGTGTGCAATCAGAATCCGTTTTAACAAAATAATTTTGCAAATGACCAATGACGAGGTAAGTAAATTTACGAGTTCCAATATTCTTGAAGAAGCAGTTGTCCATGAAATCAAAAAGCCTTGATTTTAATTTGTCGTGGGGAATTGTTGTGTATAGTTTTTAGCCTGTTGGTTTTTGTAAAGTCTTTCAAATTGTCCAAAAGTTCTTTAGAATTTTTTAGTATCCAATCTGATTCACACCACTTCTTGAATACTTATTTGCACAGTACTCTTGGTTTTTGTTCACTACTATCAAGATCTTAGTGAGGAGTAACAAAAGAGGCTTAGTTGAACATTAACTGTAACCTGTATCTTTAACTGTAATGATTCTAATGAAGTTTCAGTATCCAATTAAATAAGGTAGTTCAAATTCATTTTGGCTCTGTGGAATATTAATTCAAAAGCATCCTTAGGAAGGATGGATTTAAGTTTGTTTAAATACCCCTTTCCCCTGAACCCAGTTTTATATTTATACTTTTCAATTCTGAACTGAGTTTTGCTTTCACCTTGCCAGTTGCCCAGGTGAGTGGTATATGGCCCCTGGGTCTCTTGTTTATTCCAGAGAGTTCTTCAAGAGATTAGATGGAAGTAAGCTTTTTTTAGCAACTTTGCAAAACAATAGTCAATTCAAAAACAAAGAAAATCCTTTACTTTGCTGGTTATATAGGCTAATGATGTGCAGTGAGTGAAATTTTTTTTAGAAACATTTGAACTGTTAGAGAGATGTTTTATGATGAAGATAGGCTATAATAATAATATAACAGGTGTGCTATACATAAGGGCATTTAAAACTAAGGCATACCTCCACAATCCAGAACTAGGTATTTGCTTCCCGTTGAGAAGACTCCGAATCCCTGGACGCCCCCCTCGGACTTCAGTTTCTCTATGGGGAGCTGTTTACAGTATAATGAGGCCGCCTCAGGCTCCAGTGTTATCAGTAACTGGTCTCTGGGTATTCCAGCCTAAACAAAAATAAACATCTCATCACAGTGGTAAGCAAGCCATTCACAAATATATTCTAAAAAATATTTTCAAAGTCCTTTCTCAATTAAATCTGGAGATCTACAGGTAAAGTTTTTTAAAAAGTAAGCCCTATTTAGAGGTTTGTGGATTTTTTTTTTATTACAAATTTGTTATTTTAAGCTTTCAAGGTTCTTAACAATTCTTTTAATTAATATTTGTGAACTGTCGAACTTGTTATTACAAATTAAATTCTTCAAAACAATTTCATTGAATTCTGTCATAATGAATTTAATCTATATTAGAAATTTGTTAAATTTATTATAATGGAATTTAAAAGCCTGTAATAATGAATTAAATTCGGTATAATGAATTCTAAAACTTGTGTCGAATTAAATTCTCCGAAACAAAATCAATTTTCTTAATTTGTTAGAAGGAATTCGAATAAAATTCATTTAAACTAATTTGACAAATCTTGATATCGAATTCATGTATATGTTTCTAAAGACCATGGTTGCTGAATTGAATTTGTTTCAACGATTTTTTTTTCGCTATAACAAATTTTAGAATTTGTTTTCACGAATTTAATTTGTTATAGCAAATTTTAGAATTTTTTAAAGCGAATTTAATTCCCTGAAACAAAATTTCAAATTCATTTTAACAGATTTAATTCGTCATAACGAATTCAAAAAAAATTTTGTTATTTAACAAAGAATGACTGCACTTAAGCTATGAGGTTGATCCCGATGTTTTGCGCAAATAAAATTCCAAAATTCCTTAAATATATGTTATATGTGTATTTAACAATATCTTAAGATCAGGTTTTGGTATATTATATTACATGAAAGTATTAAATAATGCCGGGCGACACTAGCCTTTGAAACGGGAGTCTGACAGTTTTGTCTCATTTCTATTGTTAGCCATATGCATACCAGTTTTCAACGACATTGTTTACATCGAGCCGCAACTTGGCCATTTTTCTCATTTGCACAGAAAGTGAATATTAGCTAAAACTTGTACATATCCCAAGGACAATGTTGGCCAAGTTGCGGCTCATATCTAATTTTTAAAGTAATGTACCCAAACTTCGCTCGAGTTAGCTACTAAATTATCAGGTCACCTAGTGTCAGCCCATGTGACCCGTTAGATATTATAATCACTTTTCTCACGTGAAATCCAAGTGTTCGACACGCTTTTATTGTGTCAGTCGTTAGAAAATTCTTTTTCTATTTACTTTCATCTTCAAAATATCGAAGATCCTTGTGAACATTTTATTGGCTTTTAAAGTTTACATTATGTACATTGACTTCTTTTACTATAATAGTGTTTTTTTCGAGATATTTTAAAGGAAAGGGGTATTATATTGATGGTTACATGCTGTACATATAGCAGTGGCAGATCTAGAGATTTTGAAAAGGGGGCGGGGAACCAGTTTTAGGTCAGGGTAGGAGCCCACAGTCACATAAAAAAAAAAACTTTGATTTATTAAATATTGTGTATTTTTGAACGCAAAAAGGAGTCCCATGGGCCCTCTGGGCCCTCTCTTAATCCGCCAGTGTATAGCGCTGTACATGTATATAGGTAATATTTTGGCACGGGTTTATTATTAAAATTAATCAAGGTAGGAACATTTTGTGCTAGTTCTTGTGGTGGTTGTTGTAGCTTTCCGTAATTTGTTAGGACGTTTTGCTCGGACGTATATATTGGGTTTTCCGGCCAAAACATGGACTTTGCCATTATAACCATATGGGAGACGGGGTATCATTTAGTGAGCTCATTGCTTACAATACCTCTAGTCTTAATATACTATGAACTTTGCATTTCAGTTGAAAGGTCTTGATTGGGCTATTGTGATCAATGCCATAACAAAAGAACTTTTGAAATTATGGTTTATTGTAGCAAAATCACAGTATAATTTACTTCAACAGCAAATATATGAGCAGTGAGATTTTAAGCATTCCAATTTTAAAAGAACATTAGGTAGAGAAAATTATGTAGTGCTTGATAATGTAGATTTTTTTTTTTTGATGCGTTGTCCTTTCTACTCTGAATGCGGAACAAAACGTTTTTGAAAATTAACTCGATCTGCCAACAATCAAATAGCATGGTCATATATATGGATTTACTGTGTATACTTATTAGCTCACCTGAGCCAGAGGCTCAAGTGAGCTTTTCTGATCACAATCTGTCCGTTGTCTGTCGTTGTTGTCGTTGTCGTTGTTGTCGTGAACTTTTCACATTTTCATCTTCTTCTCAAGAACCACTGGGCCGATTTCAACCAAACTTGGCACAAAGTATCCTTAAGTAAAGGGGATTCAAGTTTGTTAAAATGAAGGGCCACGCCCTTTTCCAAGAGATAATCATGAATTTGTTAAAAATAAATGGCATTTTTAAAAAATCTTCTTCTCCAGAACCGCTGGGCCAGGAAAGATGAAACTCATGTGAAATCATCCTCAGGTAGTATAGATTCAAGTTTGTTCAAATCATGACCCCCGGGGCAAGGATGGGGCCGAAATGGCCGACCAAAGTTTTACATAGGAATAAATAGGAAAAATCTTTAAAAATCTTATTCTCCAGAACCACTGGGCCAGGAAAGATGAAACTCATGTGGAATCATTCTCAGGTAGTATAGATTAAAATTTGTTCAAATCATGACCTCCAGGGAAAGAGTGGGGCGAAAATGACCAACCCAAGATTTACATGAAGGATATGGAAATAACGAACAGTATTCAATCTCAACGTCCATTGAACAAATATACAAAATAAGAGCAGAGCAAACACGGACCTCCGAAACATCAGAGGTGGGATCAGGTGCCATGGAGGAGTGAGCATCCCCTGCCGACCGGTCACACCCGCCGTGTGCTCGTTGTCATAATCGGGAAATAACGGAAAAAAATCCGTGGTCAATTCAGTGTATAAATAATAGACTAACAATTGGTATGAAAAACGTCAGTCAGCATTTCATTCAATGATAAATTGTATTTGCTGACAAGGTCATTGTATCAACCATAGAATTTACGAAATGATGACTTTAAACGAGACTGTTGATATTCTTGTTTCATCAACTTGCTTGTCAATAATTTACCTCGTTTTAGAAATTGTTCATACGTAGAGCATGCTCTTGTGTATCGAATCAACTGAGATATAAATACTCCGTATGCAGGTGATAAAGGTATATTACTGCATAAGTAAGGGAAGTTGACGATAGAAAAGTTAAAGTCATCACGTTTATCATACAACTTGGTTGTTAGATTACCATTAGTGTCTTTTTCAAGTAAAATATCCAAGTATGAAGCAGAAGTGTCGGACTCTGTGGTATCTTATCTCAAGCTCACCAGGATATATTGTGTCGACGTAAGAATGGAAATTATCATTATTAATTGACAATACGTCGTCGATATATCTAAATGTCAAGTTGAAGGCCACAGCAAGTGTTTTCTTCTTTTCACGTACAAGATTTTGCATAAATTCTGCTTCATATGAATATAAAAATAAGTCTGCTAATAACGGAGAGCAATTTGTACCCATGGGAATTTCAATAGATTGTTGGAATACCTGGTCTCCAAAAACCACATAGATATTGTCAATCAGAAACTCTAGCATCTTCTTGATGTCAACTTCAGAGTACTTATGTGTGCAATCAGAATCTGTTTTAACAAAATAATTTTTCAAATGACCAATGACGAGGTAAGTAAACTTACGAGTTCCATTTTTGTTGAAGAAGCAGCTGTCAATGATATCAAAAAGCCTGGATTATAATGTAACATAGGAATATATAGAAAAACCTTTAAAAATCTTCTTCTCCAGAACCACTGGGCCAGGAAAGATGAAGCTCATGTGGAATCATCCTCAGGTAGTGTAGATTCAAGTTTGTTCGAATTGTGACCCTCGGGGCAAGGATGGGGCCAAAATGGCCGACCCAAGTTTAACGTAGGAATATATAGAAAAAAAATTTAAAAATCTTATTCTCAAGAACCACTGGGCCAGGAAAGATGAAATTCATGTGGAATCATCCTCAGGTAGTGTAGATTCAAGTTTGTTCAAATCATGACCCCGGGACAAGGGTGGGTCCAAAATGGCTGACCCAAGTTTTACATAGGAATATATAGGAAAAATCTTTAAAAATCTTATTCTTAAAAACCACTGGGCCAGGAAAGATGAAACTCATGTGAAATCATCCTCAGGTAGTAAATTATTAAGTTTGTTCAAATCATGACTCCCGGGGCAAGTGGGGGCCAAAATAGCTGTCCCAATTTTTACATAGGGATATATAGGGAAACACTTTAAAATCTTCTTTTCAAGTACCTCAAAGCTATGATTAGTGATATTTATATGGAATCATCCTCAGGTAGTGTGGATTCTAGTTTGTTCAAATAATGAAGGCCTGGAAAGGGGGGGGTAAATTCAAGCCCGATGTGCTCAGGTGAGCGCCGTGGCCCCTGGGCCTCTTGTTTTAAATTATCCCATAGACAGGTTGCAAAGTATTTTTCATTTATGCAAAGACGGTCCATTATATTCAGAAAATAAAAAAAATGTATTTCAGTGTCATTTTCATCTACCAATAATTCTTAAAACAGACTCTACCAACCTTAGCTTACAAAATGCATATATATTTATCACAATTTTGTTTATTTTTATGAACTTTTTGTTTTTCTCTAAATGTTCTGCTCTTTATTTTCTATATAAATTCTATTTCAATTTTGTGTTTAAAATGCTATATAGGCCCGATGGGCCGGATATTTTTTTTTTTTTAATAAAGTCTGTAAACAGAAGAATTTTAAAAATAATTTTGTGCATACATGTATGTCAATATAAAAAAATTACAGTACTTAACTTACTTACTTTTCATACTTACATGGATACAAATTAATGAAGTTATATGCATAGTTATAAATCATTATTTTTTTGTACACAATGAACACAAAACTCTCCTCTCCGCCTTTTTTATATATAATGTAGATTTAATACGGAAAAACCATATGCTTATGATCCATTTCCATGC